TTTTTTTGGGATTTCTGGAGGTTTTTTTAGGGTGTTCTGGTTTTTTTTAGGGTTTTCCAGGATTTTTTTGGGATTTTTGGAGGTTTTTTTAGGGTGTTCTGGTGTTTTTTAGGGTTTTCTGGGAGTTTTTAGGGGTTTCCGGGTTTTTTTTAGGGTTTTCTGGGGTTTTTTAAGGGTTTTCTGGGGGTTTTTTTTTGGAATTTCTGGGGGTTTTTAGGGTTTTCTGGGATTTTTTTTAAATGTTTTCCGGGGTTTTTTTGGGGATTTCTGGGGTTTTTTTTAGGGCTTTCTGGGTTTTTTTTTGGGATTTCTGGGGGTTTTTTTGGGATTTTGGTTTTTTCTGGGGGGATTTCTGGGTTTTTTTTTTGGGTTTCCCGTGGGTTTCTTTGTGTTTCCCATGTTTTTTTAAGGGTTTTCTGTGGGATTTTCAGGGTTTTCCCGTGAGTTTCCTGGGAGATTTTTAGGGTTTCCTGCAGGTTTCCCATGGGTTTTTTAGGGTTTTCCAGGGTTTTTTTTAAGGTTTCCCATGGGTTTTCCACGGGTTTCTCATTGGTTTTTTTAGGGTTTCCCATTGTTTTTTTAGCGTTTCCTGCAGGTTTCCCAAGGGTTTTTTAGGGTTTCTTGTGGGTTTCCCATGGATTTCCTGTGGGATTTTTAGGGTTTCCTGTGGGTTTTTTGGGTTTCCCAAGGGATTCCTGCGGGTTTTTTAGGGTTTCCCATGGATTTCCCGTGGGATTTTTAGGGTTTCCCGTGGGTTTCCCGTGGGATTTTTCGGGTCCCTGTGGGTTTCCTGTGGGTTTTCCATGGGATTTTTTGGGTTTCCCGTGGGATGTTTCGGGTCCCCGTGGGTTTCCTGTGGGATGTTTCGGGTTTCCCGTGGGTTTTTAGGTTTTCCAATGGGATTTTTCAGGTTTCCCGTGGGATTTTTTGGGTTTCCCGTGGGATTTTTTGGGTTTCCTGTGGGATGTTTTGGGTCCCCGTGGGTTTCCTGTGGGTTTCCCGTGGGTTTCCTATGGGATTTTTCGGGTTTCCCGTGGGTTTCCCGTGGGATTTTTTGGGTTTCCTGTGGGTTTCCCGTGGGTTTCCTGTAGGATTTTTCAGGTTTCCTGTGGGTTTCCCGTGGGATTTTTTGGGTTTCCCGTGGGTTTCCCGTGGGTTTTTTCGGGTTTCCCGTGGGATTTTTAGGGTTTCCCGTGGGTTTTTTTGGGTTCCCCGTGCTCCTCCCGCTCAGCCCTGCTCCGTCCCTGCAGGAGGTGCAGCTGCCCGGCCCCGGCAGCGCCCCGTGGGTTTCCTGTGGGTTTCCCGTGGGTTTTTTTGGGTTTCCCGTGGGATTTTTCGGGTCCCCGTGGGATTTTTTGGGTTTCCCGTGGGATGTTTCGGGTCCCCGTGGGTTTCCCGTGGGTTTCCCGTGGGATGTTTCGGGTTTCCCGTGGGTTTTTAGGTTTTCCAATGGGATTTTTCAGGTTTCCCGTGGGATTTTTCGGGTTTCCTGTGGGTTTCCCGTGGGATTTTTTGGGTTTCCCATGGGTTTCCCGTGGGTTTCCCGTGGGTTTCCTGTGGGTTTCCCGTGGGATTTTTCGGCTTTCCCGTGGGTTTTTAGGTTTTCCAATGGGATTTTTCAGGTTTCCCGTGGGATTTTTTGGGTTTCCCGTGGGATTTTTTGGGTTTCCCGTGCTCCTCCCGCTCACCCTGCTCCGTCCCTGCAGGAGGTGCAGCTGCCCGGCCCCGGCAGCGCGCTGGCCCTGGTGTCGCTGGTGGACGGGTATTTCCGCCTGACGGCCGACTCCAGCCATTACCTGTGCCACGACGTGGCGCCGCCGCGGCTGCTGCTGAGCATCCACCACGGCATCCACGGGCCCATGCAGTGAGTGCGGCTCCCCGGGAGCCATCCCGGAGCCGCTCCGTGTCCTCGGGGTGCTGCCGCGGTGTTCCGGCTGCTTTGGGTTCATCCTGATCCCTTCCCTGTCCTTTGGGTTCATCCCAATCCATTCCCTGTCCTTTGGGTTCATCCCGATCCATTCCCTGTCCTTTGGGTTCATCCCGATCCATTCCCTGTCCTTTGGGTTCATCCCGATCCATTCCCTGTCCTTTGGGTTCATCCCGATCCCTTCCATGTCCTTTGGGCTCATCCCGATCCTTTGGGTTCATCCCGATCCATTCCCTGTCCTTTGGGCTCATCCTGATCCATTTCCTGTCCTTTGGGTTCATCCCGATCCATTCCCTGTCCTTTGGGCTCATCCCGATCCATTTCCTGTCCTTTGGGTTCATCCCGATCCATTCCCTGTCCTTTGGGTTCATCCCGATCCTTTGGGTTCATCCCGATCCATTCCCTGTCCTTTGGGTTCATCCCGATCCTTTGGGCTCATCCCGATCCCTTCCATGTCCTTTGGGTTCATCCCAATCCATTCCATGTCCTTTGGGTTCATCCCGATCCTTTGGGCTCATCCCGATCCATTCCCTGTCCTTTGGGTTCATCCCGATCCTTTGGGCTCATCCCGATCCATTCCCTGTCCTTTGGGTTCATCCCGATCCCTTCCATGTCCTTTGGGCTCATCCAGAGCCATTCTATCTGGTTTGGGCTGATCCAAATCCATTCCATGTCCTTTGGGTTCATCCCAATCCATTCCCTGTCCTTTGGTCTGATCCCAACTCATTCCCTTTTCTCCATCCCAATCCATTCCCTTTTTTCATGGCTCATCCCAATCCATTCCCTTTTCTCAGGACTCATCCCAATCCATTCCCTTT